TAGTTATTGGAATAGCGTTGTCAGTATCCGTGTTATATAATTTAATATAGCATATTTTAAAAGTCTGAAGTGGAAGAGATTTAGTGTTTGTTTTCTCAATCTTCGTTTATGTACTTAAACTGGTTTTTTTTTTCTCCCTAGACTAAATCCAAACCAGAAGATGAAGTGAAACCTGTGAAAGAACCAGATATCAAACCTCAAAAGGACACTGGGTGCTACATCTCCTAAAATACAATTTGCACTTAGAATTTCTCTAGCCGTAGATAAGATAAACCACAGAATTGCAGTGCTTATTTCTCAAAATGATTTCTCTGAAGCTTGTAGAATAACTATTGCATTCAGAGGGTATCTGCCTTCAGCTGACTTGTTCTGATTTTTAATACAGGAGGTGTTTCTTGCTTTGTTTTCGGATTCTCCTTTTTAATCAGGACAACATTTGGAAGATTTTATTGTGCCTCTAAAGGGTATATTTGGGGGTTGGGTCTTTTTGTTAAACTCTAGATAGTAATTAGTTTCAAGTCAATATAGTCCCAAATTGTGGTTTTAGGTATGTTTTTTCTTTTCTTCTTCTTCTTCTTTTTTTTTTTTTTTTTGAGACAGAGTCTACCTCTGTCGCTAGGCTGGAGTGCAGTGGCATGATCTTGGCTCACTGCAACTTCCACCTCCTGGATTCAAGTGATTCTCTTGCCTCAGCGTCCTGAGTAGCTGGTTTACATGCCACCATGCCCAGCTAATTTTTGTATTTTTAGTAGAGACGAGTTTCACCATGTTGGCCAGGCTGGTCTTAAAGATTTAGGCCTAATTTCAGTATTCTGACCTCAACTGATCCACCCGCCTCCCAAAGTGCTGGGATTACAGGTGTGAGCCACCGCCCCAGCCTCAGGTATGTTTTTCTATTTACACACAGAAAAAATTATTTTTCCTTCCTCTTACTTGATATCAGAAGAATGACAGGAATCAGTTTTTAACAGATAGTTTTTCCACTTTTCCATTGTGTTAATCAGAGCACAGACATGTTCACAGTCATTTATCTTTTCTGGTGGGTGGAAAAATTGTCACTTACAGTTGAAGATCAGAAAACCATCACACCAAGTCCTTTACCTATATTAGAATCAACAATTTACTCAAAAATCAGTGTTTATAGGTATGTTGGGACCTTTAAGAACTTATCCCTATTCCAGTAGCCCTGTGCTTCATTCAGTATCAGTAACCCTGCACTGATTTTTACGAATATCTTTTCTAGTGGGTTTTTTACTTAGAGGACAGAACTTTGTAATAGCTCTTAATGTTTATATATAAGAGAAGACAGAATGGAAAATGTTTTTTGAAGTCAAATATTGCATGATGTAAAGAAAAAAAACTAAAATGAGATAGGTTGTCCTGAATTACACTGTTAACTCTCTACTTCTTTATTAAAGAAGTTACAGTAAAATGCCTTGGTTACCTGATTTCAGTGTACATTTGTTTTTATGTGGTTTTCTGATAATGTCCTGTCAGAATTATATTTCTTTAGGCCAAAGGCCATAGCAAAAACATAGAGAACAAATATAGATACAATATGATCTTAAAAATAGATTGTAACAGTTGAAACAATTAGTTTAGTGTGTATGCGAATTTGGGAAATAGTGGATGCATAATACTTAAACAGAAGTCACACATCTGTAGGCTTAACTTTTGATTATTCTCTTGGGGCATTAGATAATTTTTCTATTATAAGTGACAGATTGATTCACTTAATATAAATAATATAAGTAGCATACACTAAAAGCTTACTGTGTGCCAGATACTGTGCTGGACACTTAACATAGATAAGCCATTGAATCCATAGCAGCCCTGTGAGAAATAAGTAAAATCTGCATAAAGTGTTGAGATAGGAGTATACATTTCATTATAAAAAATGAGTAGATTATGCCTATCTGAATCGATATTGCATTCGAATAAGTGATTACTTTATATATCATAGTTTACATTCCTTAAAAAAAGGTAGATAAATGCAATGAGGTTTTTTCTTAACATATGAAATACTAAATACTGCTTGCAGTATAATATTAATATTTGAAGCTGCAGTTTCCGGAATAAGTGGAGTAACAACTAAACAGACATTTAGTTTTATTTTAATATCTATGGAAAAAATACTCTATTAAATCTCACTGCATTTTCTGTTGTCTTTTTGACAGAATCACTTGTCTGTTTGTTGTGTGCCACTTATTGACAAAACATTAAACAGTGCTTGATGCCAGCTCTTCACTCTCTGGCTCGTGGGACCCACTTCTCTTAGATACTTGTGCTTCTTTATCTACTTACTACATTTTCACATTGACATTTTTGGGGATGACACTATCGTATATGAAATGGAAAGTTAATATGTTCAGTGCTTCTGTAAAATGAAGCAGTTCTGTTATTACTTTAAATCAGTAGGCATCTTTGACATGAGCAGGTAAATATTTTGTTGACTAAAGTATCCCATGATATATAATGTTTTTTGAAATGTTGGAAATTAATCAAATGTATAGAAATTACATGAAGGTTACAGAGAGATGTAACTATTTGTATTTGCTATTATATGCATTTCGTACTGGGCAGTGACAACTAACATGTTACTTCTACTCAAAGTGTATAATGGGTTATCTATTTATGAAAATAAAAGTAATTTTACTTACAATCTCATCGAGATCTCTTGTTTTTTGATAAATATTTTTATACTTACTAAGCCAGTAACAGTTAAGACAGTGCAAAATCATTCTTCATGGTAATGTTTTAAAATGACAGATAACCAGGCATGGTGGCTCATGCCTATAATCCCAGCACTTCAGGAGGCTGAGGCGGGAGGATTGCTAGAGCCCTAGAGTTGAAACTAGCCTGGAAAACATGGGGAAACCCTGTGTCTGCAAAAATTAAGAAATTAGCTGGGTGTCGTAGCATGTGCAGTGAACCACAATCATGCCCCTGCACCTTAGCCTGGGAGACCGAGTGAGGCACTGTCACACAAAAAAATAAAATGACAGATACATTTGCATCAATTATTTTATGCTTCATGGACTCATTAAATCTTCCGTGTTCCTTGACTTGTTCAGTGTCTACTTATGTTTATTAGTACCTATCCCTTCTTAATCTCAAAGGATTTTGATTGGCCTGTTTATGTCTCGTGCTTAGTAATATCCAACATGATGCAGTATTTGTACTATGGTATGCTGAGCTAGAGACTTATTATCGCTGTACAATAATCTGTAGAAAACTATACCTTACAAACTTGAGGTGTTACTTTTAATGTTGTATAAATGCATGTAGAAATAAAACGGTATTCAGATTTCTTTTAGAATTAGAGTAATCATGCTTTAGAAAATACTGCATTTTACTGTGTAAAGTAAACTTGGAATGTCACTTTGGGTTACCATAACTTTGTATCTAAAGATTTTTATTTGACATTTGAACAATTTGCTTAAAGTTTAAATTTTTATTTAAGAATCTTTTAGTAATAAAGGGATCTAAATAGTTAATCTGGAAGATAAGTTGACAAATTATAAAACAGAAAACTAGCCGGGCGCTGTGGCTCAAGCCTGTAATCCCAGCACTTTGGGAGGCCGAGGCAGGTGGATCATGAGGTCAAGAGATCGAGACCATCCTGGTCAACATGGTGAAACCCCGTCTCTACTAAAAATACAAAAAATTAGCTGGGCATGGTGGCGCGTGCCTGTAATCCCAGCTACTCAGGAGGCTGAGGCAGGAGAATTGCCTGAACCCAGGAGGCGGAGGTTGCGGTGAGCCGAGATCGCGCCATAGCACTTCAGCCTGGGTAACAAGAGCGAAACTCCGTCTCAAAAAATAAAAAAAAATAAAATAATAAAATAAAACAGAAAACTATATTTGATTGTGCTTATCCGAAAAGCCAGAGCTCTCACTTCAGCATTTAATGTATCTAATGCCTGTGATTTGCTTGAGGTCGGTAGAAGCTTATACAGTCACTCTCAGAGCACTCCCCTGAGAAAATGTCAAACTTGAATTTGCTTCTCTAATGCAGAGCTTCTCAAGTAGTTTGTCTCAAGCTATTGATTGAAGCCTTCCGGGTGGCTAACTGGGCAGGACTTAAGGTGGCTGGAGCTCCCAGGCTGGTCGCCTCCAGAATTCCAAACAAAGAATTTTTTCTGATCTTCCATGATGTAAAAAAGGTTGGGAAACACCACAGTGGGACAGGCATGGGCAGACATGCAGGCAGTGGGGTGCATGTATATGGTTTAATACTGCAAATAAAGATACAGCAATCCTGCCAGGTGATGATGCTCTTTAATTCTCAAGGAGCAGCAATGATTTGTTATTTCACATTTTTCCTCACTCTACTCTTCCCTTCTGACACACACACACGGCAGGTCACTGATTGGAGCAGGCCAGTTCCCCCAGGTGAAGGGGCCTAGAGAAATGTCAGTGAGTACCGTGCTATGAAGCTCTGCCTCTGAGGTGCGCAGTGGGGCCTTGGCTCTCTCTGCTCTCACCAGGGGTTTGACCTTTCACCCACCTCAGGAAGAAGGAAAGGTGGAAGCAGGAAGGGGGACCAGCAGCTCCGGGCAAGCAACGCTAATTAGCTCCTGTGTCATGACCCAACGTCAGTTCTTAGCTGAATTTCAACATAGTCCATTTGAAAACATTTCTAGATAAATGAAAATGGAAAGAATTCTAGAAAATGTCATGTTATATACTTAAAATAGTATATTTACTTATTGAAGTTAAATGCCAAGATGTAGCACTAATGTGTTATTTCCTTGGTACAGATTATAATGCTTTAACTTTTCAGTGAAGGAGTTAATCAGAATGAAATGATTGGTATATAGATGTAATCAGAAAAATATTAAATGGATAGTCATTTCTAAAGCAGGAAATAAAGACAATTCAAGTTTGTTATTTTTCCAATCTATTATATACCTCCTCCCACCCATTAACATTAACTAAATGTATGATTCATTTGTTAAACAAATACTGAGTTCCAGCTATGTGTAACGCATTGTACTGGCAGAAGATACAGCAGTGAACATAGAGGTAAAAACCCTCCCACTCTGCCAAGGGGTGGGACAGGGAGAAAAGGGAAGACAGAGACACGTGGAATATGGAGTGTTCGGTGTTGGTAAGGGCTAAGGAGAAAAAACGAAACAGGAGGTAAGATGCAAAGGGCAGTGGTGAAGGCAATGGGAGGTTGCTTGAAAGAGGAGCCCAGCATAGTCTCCATTTGAGTTTTAGACTGGAAATGAGCAATGAACTGCCTGGAAAGAAAGACTAATAGAGCAGCCAGCACAGAGCTCTCTGCAGAGACGGACGGAGGACCTGTGTGGTCAAGGAATTGCGGTAAGAAGGCCAGTGTGGTTAGAGTGATGTCAGTCGGGGGAGAGCAGTACAAGATGGCATCATAAAGCTTATAGGGGTTAAATACACAGCCTTGTAGGCCATTGTGAGGACTCTGGCTTTCCTCTAGGAGAGACGAGAACCCACTGGCGAATTTTAAGCAGAGAAATGGCATGATCCGACTTAGGATTTAACAATTCTGGCTCCTTTTTGAGTGTAGACTGGAGGGGGCCAATTAGGACGCCGCTGCAATAATCTAGGTGAGAGATGATAGAGCAGGCTGGTGGCAGTGGAGCAATGAAAACATGATTCCAGAAATATCCAAGAGAATTTCCTGGCAGATTTGATGTGAGGAGTGATTAAAGAAGAACCAAGAATGACTTTAATGTTGTTGGCCTGAGTAACTGGAAGAATAGGTTTGCCATTTATTGAGATGAGAAGGCTGCCAGAAGAGTAGAGGTAAATGCGTGAGTCTGTGCGTGTTGCGGGGATGGAGTGGGAGTTGCACTAAAAACATGAGCAAAGATATAGACAAATCAGGATTGAGATGTCTATTAGACAACTAAGAGATGGCAAGCAGGTAGTTGATCTGTGAGATTCAGTGAAAACGTCTGACCTGGAGAATATAAATGTTGCAATCACCTGTGTGTGCATAGTATTTAAAGCCACAGGGCCAAAGGAGATCATCAAGAAAGCAGATAGAAAAGAGAAGAGGTCCGATTACTGAGCCCTGGGCTAATACAGTATACGAAAGGTCAGAGAGATTATATGTTCTGTTAATTACATTATATACTTGGGTACTATCCTTTATATTTGGGGTTAAGAAACAGCCGGGCGTGGTGGCGCATGCCTGTAATCCCAGCAATTTGGGAGGCTGAGGCAGGAGGATTGCTTGACCCCAGAAGTTCAAGAACAGCCTGGGGGAGACACCACCTCTACAAAAACTACAACAACAAAAAAAAAGCTAGAGGTAGTGGCACGTGCCAATGGGAGGTCGAGGTTGAAGTCAACAGAGATCACACCACTGCACCCCATCCTGGGCAAAAGCAAGATCATGTCTAAAAAAAAGAAAAAAAGAAACTGAAGCTAAAATATCACTTACAAAATATCCACATCTGTGTGAAGCTGGCAGTGCTCCCAAGGTTTTTATAAATAAGTTGATTCCAACCTGTTCACTATCGAGACCCCTCTGTGAGACATGCACTGATTATAAACATGAAGTTCGCATAGCATATTCTAAAATGCCCATTAGGTGGCAGAAAAACATTCAGTAAACCAGCTGTGAGCTAGCTACTGCTCGCTCTTGTGCTGGTTCACGCTTTCTCCACTCCCCTCCAGCCTCTCAGAGAGCCCTCTGAACTTAAAGATGTGTATGTCTGTTAATATACAACACCATAATCAAGAAGAACAGAGACTGGTATTTTCTTCAGAGAGCCAACAGATATCATCAGTCTGTAAGATAATACAGGAGGTGAGCCACGTGTACAGGGATTGAGGGTGTGTCCTATGTTTCATTAGGTTTGGAAATGTATGAATTTGGACAGTCTTAAGAGGAGTAAATGGACTATAATGACACTATTAGGCCTTATTTTTAAACTTTTGATATTTAAGCTTTTTAGCTTGGGGCAGGGTGAAGAAGTGTTCAGAAAGTAGAAATGTAAGAAAGGCCCTTGGGAAAAAAAAGGCAAGGTGTCTTGCAACTAGCCTGATGTTTAAGCTTTCTGCAATAAACCAAATCACTAAGTCATAAATCTCTTTCTGTTTCAGTTTCAAAGTTTCTTCTTGTCCCACTCTCTTTAGGACATTGGTCCCCAAACTTGCCTGAACACTGGGATGACCTGGGCAGCTTCAAAAAATACTAGTGCCTGAGTTCCACCCACAGAGATTGTGATTTAAGTGGTCTGAGGTGTGGCCTGTCTTTGAAATTATTTAAAAGACCCCCAGATGGTTCTCATAACAAAATGATTTTGAGAGCCACTGGGCTTAGCTAATGCTGGATGTGTAAATATAGACCTTCCCACAACTCAAACATGTTCCACCCTGTAAGACATGCAAGAGAACACATCCACGTCAGCATATCCAAGCGCTCTGTACAGCCTCAGCCTACAGAACCCTTAACTCTTTATCATCTACTGAATAATCCCTAACATCAAAATCTGTGCTACTTTCAACACCAAACGTAACTAATGAAAGAAAAATACAGAGGAATTATGTAAGTTACTTTTTGAAAATGTTTTGATTTTCTCTTGCTTGTTGTAGAATGTGTTTTGTTTCTTATGGCACTGATAATATTTATTTGTGCAACAGTATTGTGCTTAACATACTGTTGGTCTTACATACCAAATTAAAATGGGCATTTTTTTTTTCTGCTCTTACCTATTCCTACTTCTTACTGAGGCTTTTCTATGATACACCATCACTAAATCAGGGGAAACCATGTGTAATATTCAGAGGTCCCCGGAGCAGGGCAGATATCATATCACCTTGCTGTGGATGACAAACGTAACCTTTGGCAAGTCTTTTGCAACTCGGACCTTTGACAAAGGCATTAAGCTCAGCATTGCAGCAATAAGATTTGGTGATTTATTTGTGTATGTGTGTGTGTATATATATATATATATATATATATACACACACACATACATATATTTGTTCATGTTTGCATTGCCCATAAAATATTTTTTAAATTCAATCTGCTACTCTTCATTTTAATGGATGGCTGACAATCCATTTGCATTTATTATGATTATTGACTTACTTGGAATTATTGCTAATATTTTATTCAGTGTTTCTTTTGATCATGATTTTTCTTTACTGTTGCTTCTTTCTTGCCTTCCATCAGAATGTTTTTCTTTTTTATTTTCTTCCACTAGTTTTGAAGCTACACATTCTAATTCCATTATTTGTCTAGTTACCTTTCAATTGTTAACATGCATACTTAGCAACCTGTCTTATCCAGCCTATTCCAAAACAATACTTGAAGTCTACTCATATTTTTTTATTATCTAATACTTAATACTCTGTTTTGTCTTTATACTGTCCCCACCAAAATAGTGTTTTTAAAAATCAATACTTCCTGACATTTGTCATCCTATTTACTAATTTTTTAACATATATTTGTTGCATCTTTTTTTTTTTTTCTTTTGAGACAGAGTCTCGCTCTGTCATGCAGGCTGGAGTGCAGTAGCACAATGTCAACTCACTGCAACCTCTACCTTCTGGGTTCAAGCAATCCTCCCACCTCAGCATCCCAAGTAGCTGAGACTGCAGGCACATGCCACCATGCCTGGCTAATTTTTTTGTATTTTTTTTAATTAGCCAGGCATGGTGGCATGCACCTGTGGTCCCAGATACTCAGGAGGTTGAGGCAGGAAGATCAATTGAGTCTGGGAGGTCAAGGCTGCAGTGAGCCATGATCATGCCACTGCACCCTAGCCTGGGCAACAGAGCAAGACTCTGTCCCAAAAAATAAAAAATGAAAATTTGGCCAGGTGCAGTAGGTCATGCCTATATCTTAGCACTTCGGAAGGCCAAGGTGGGTGGATCACGAGGTCAGGAGTTTAAGACCAGCCTGGCCAACATAGTGAAACCCTGTCTCTACTAAAAATAGAAAAATTAGCCAGGCGTGGTGGGGCGTGCCTGTAGTCCCAGCCTCTCAAGAGCCTGAGGCAGGAGAATCACTTGAACCCAGGAGGTGGAGGTTATGGTGAGCTGAGATCGCGCCACTGCACTCCAGCCTGAGCAACAGAGTAAGACTCTGACTCAAGAAACAAACAAAAACAAAAAAATAGGCCAGGCACGGCGGCTCACGCCTGTAATCCCAGCACTCTGGGAGGCTGAGGTGGGTGGATTCGTTGACATCAGGAGTTTGAGAACAGCCTGGCCAACATAGTGAAACCCCATCTCTACTAAAACAACAAAAAATTAGCCAGGCATAATGGCGGGTGCCTGTAATCCCAGCTACTCAGGAGGTTAAGGGAGGAGAATCACTTGAACCCAGGAGGCAGAGGTTGCAGTGAGCTAAGATCATGCCATTGCATTCCAGCCCAGGCAACAAGAATTAAACTCCATTTCAAAAAAAAATTTTTTTAGCCATTACAGTGGGTATGTTATGATATCTCATTATGATTTTAATTTACATTTCCCTAATGACTAATGAGATTAGTCATCTGTAAATCTTTGGTAAAATCTCTGCTCAAATATTTTGACCGTATTTTAATTGAATTGTTTACCTTTTACCTAATGAACTGTAACCATTCTTTACATGTTCTGAAAATAAGTCTTTTACCAAATATATACTTTGCACATGTTTTCTCCTGTCTGTGATGTCTATACTCTTAACCATTTCCTACATTGCTTCTCAATATTTATTGAAATAATTGAGCAACTTCTGCAGGGAAGTGACTCCTTCCTACTAGCAATTGTGGGTTTTAAAGTTAACAGAAGGTAGGAAAACCCTGTTGACACTTTTGTTTGAAGACTGAAAGTCCACATTTTCACTGCTTATCAAATCGCCTCCATGTTAGTAGAGAGCAGAACAGTCTTTTCTTGGATTTGAAGAACTGAAGAGGTCACAAGTGTGATTACCTCTGAAATCTCTGTCTTTACTACCCATTGAAGATAACTAGATAATGCTCAGCTGTGAGTAACTTGCCCTAAGGTACCCTGTTTTTAATTTTCTAGTTGTCTTGTTTCATTATGGAGATAGACGGTTTTCAGCAGTTAGACCTAGAGAAGAGTGTACCTTCCAACAAGACTACTCCTAGAAGGATTATCCATTTTGTTGACGGAGACATCATGGAAGAATATAGCACAGAGGAAGAGGAGGAAGAGGAAAAAGAGGAACAAGAGGAACAGAGCATAAATTCAACACTTGACCCTGTAAGCTTAGTATGTCAATATTAGTATGTCAATATGGTGGGGGAGGTGGTAAAGGAACGAGAAATTGTGCCAGACAAGGTTTTTAAAAATAATAGCTTTAAACTAAGTCCTTGGTCTCCTTTTTTGCCTTCTAGATCCATGTGTAGGCAACTTATAATTTTAATCATCTTAGTCTCTTCATCTGTGTGAGAGAAAATGGAACATACTACATAGAGCATTTTGAAATCTCTACATTAAAACAAATCTGCAGTCACCATTCTTCTTCTTAATTACTCTATGTTGATTTCTCCTTTTTCCAGTCTAAACTTTCCTGGGGGCCCTACCTACGATTTTGGGCAGGACGCCTAGCAAGCACCTCATTTTCTAGTAAGTACTGCTAAGGTTATTTTTTTTTCTGTCCTAAATAGGTAGAAATATCGATAGGCCCTCAGAGTTATGTGGGACTTCCAATTGTGTAAGCCACTCCATCGCATCCTGAAGAAGTGAGATCTGGGCTAGGCTTTAATTTCCAAAGGCACACAACCTCACATTCTGAGGCAGACCCTTCATCTTTAACCAGCTCTCATCAGGAAATTCTTTCTTATCTCGGCCCAAATTTTATCTACTTCTAAAGTTCCTACTTTTCTTTCTTAGAACCATACCAAACCAGGCTAGATGCCTCTTTCATAGGCCCAGAGTTTCAAATATTGGAGGACAATAATCGGTCCTCCTTAGTTGACTCTTCATCTGAATAAACTTCCAAATTAAAAAAAATAATTATTGGCTGGGTGTGGTGGCTCATGCCTGTAATCCCAGCACTTTGGGAGGCCGAGGTGGGCAGATCACAAGGTCAAGAGATTGAGACTATCCTGGCCAACATAGTGAAACCCCATCTCTACTAAAAATACAAAAATTAGCTGGGTGTGGTGTGGTGTCTCACACCTGTAGTCCCAGCTACTCAGGAGGCTGAGGCAGAATAATCGCTTGAACCTTGGAGGCAGAAGTTACAGTGAGCCAAGATCGTGCCACTGCACTCCAGCAAGACTCTGTCTCAAAAAAATATATATTGTATGACACAGTTCTAAGTTTCTACTTCCCTCATCATAATTGCTTTATTATAAAAATGAACTTTATTGATCCCTCCTAGAGACATAATGACTGGGCTAAGTGAATATTTATAACAAAATACTAAATCTCATTTTGTTTTACATTCACCAATTTTTTTAAGACATAGTTGACAACATCTAATTACTCATTTCCTTCTAACTTGCACATCTTGTGAATATGATAGAAAGGAAAACGACTTTAAGAATCTGAGAAAATATAAAATGTATTTATAGCTCTTAGAAAGTGATCTTCATTCATTCATTTAAAAAACATTTACTGTCTACTATATGCTCAGCACTGTGCTGGACCCTGGGACACAAAGATGAATGACAGTCTCTGCTTTCAAGGGGCTCATTGTTCAGTGAATCATGTAGATCAGCAAACATGCTCGTAATTATAAGTTGTTTTCACAATTGCCAGAGTAGGAGTGCACAGGGACTATGACCTGGAAGACTCGGGCATGCTGACATATAGAGGAGACACCTTCAGAGAGCTACGACAGTGTGGCTGGCTAAGGCTAGCTTGAGGACCATGAAAGTGACCAGGGAGTCTTTAAATTACAGTAAAAAGTAAAGATGAGGTGATTTAGTCAGATGATATGAACCTTCAAGAAATAAATGCTTTTACACAAGCACAGAGGGTTAGTGATTAAGAAGTTACATTGAAAATCCCAGTGAATACTAACCCTACCCTGACTGTAATATGTTAACAGAAAACAATGCTGTCTTCCAGAAAGCTCTACACTTCAGTTAAGGCAAAGGGTTTAAAAGGATACGTTTCGGGCCGGGCGCGATGGCTCATGACTGTAATCCCAGCACTTTGGGAGGCCGAGGCAAATGGATCATGAGGTCAAGAGTTTGAGACCATCTTGGCCAACACAGTGAAACCCCATCTCTACTAAAAATATAAAAATTAGCTGGGTTGGTGGCATGTGCCTGTAATCCCAGCTACTTGGGAAACTGAGGCAGGAGAATCGCATGAACCCAGGAGGCAGAGGTTGCAGTGAGCCGAGGTCACGCAACTATACTCCAGCCTGGTGACAGAGCAAGACTCTGTCTCAAACAAACAAAACAAAAACAAAAAAAGGGACTATGTTTCAGATGGAGGAAATCAGAGAAGATTAGGTCATGTAAAAGAAGCAAAACTCAATATGGGATTGAAAGTACAGAGAAGAGTGATTTGCATGTTGGGTTTTGATTTGAGATTGCAGGGATAGGATGCCTGGCGAGCCTAGCTTTCTTGTGAGTTCCAAACAGAGCTGCAGTGAAAAAATGCTCCTGACCAGAGCTTCAAGGTTGTAGTGGAGGCATAAAGATGCTAGCAGTCAGGACTGTGGTCTCTCTATACAGATTTTGTTTGAATGGAGTTGAAACCCAGATGACACTGGTAATTAATTTTTTCAAGTTAAAATTCTAGTAGGTCATAAACAGGAAACCTCCCTAAGATTTATTTTAATATTTTCAAAAAAACGTTTCTACTACAAATATATAGAACAAAGAGATAGCATATTTTTGAAAAGATAAGACATATTAAAAATAGCGTCCTTTTGATGCCCTATGTGAGCGATATCCTGAGGCAGAATGAATCAAAGGAATCAGAAAGTCCTCTAATTGGGGCATAAGAGAAGGCTGTCAGAAATCCTCTAATTTTAAAGGAAAACATTTCTAGGGGACATCTTCAGGAACCACTTACTATTCATGCTACAACTTTATCCCTGCCTCTAACAAGCCCAGTGCTGAGCCTGCGAGCCACCTTGCTACCGAAGGCAGACAAGGAAGGCCTTTAACGACTTCTGAGGAGTCTGTCTGGATGCATGGAAGAATTCCTGATGTGGGTCTTGGTAACACTCTGAAATGTAAGCCGGTACACATGGGGTTAATGAGCAGTACCTTTTCTGGTTGCTCAGGACCCATGCTGTACCTGTTGTTAAAATATATTGACAATCTCTCCTGATATATACATGTGGAAAAAATAATCCCATATTAAAAAATAATATAATCCCATATAAAGATAGAAGATTTGACAAATTTCCTTTGAATCCTGGAATTTTTGAGAGGCCAAGGCAATTGAAATCTTTTATCAGGCTTCAAGTTAAGTATATTAAGAGATCACTGGCAGAGTAGTTTAAACTTGGCCCTCAGCTGATGCTAAGCTTTAGTTATTAATTCGGTTTACCCAAGTGCTCATTCTTTCCTTTAGCATGTGAATTCCTTGGTGGAAGGTTTGCTGTCTTCTTCGGTCTTACTCAACCCAAATATCAGTATGTGCTAAATGAGTACTACAGGATACAAAGCAAGGTATGTGACACTCTGATGGGGACAAGGGCCTGAAATAGGAATATTGGTTGCTCCAACTTTAGGTCAGTATAGAAAATTATTTTTTCCACCTGGTAATCATGTACTACAATTTCACCAAACTTCCATAGTCAGCCTGGCTTATTTTTCTAGTTCTTCTCACCTTGGGACACTTCTTCATATTTGCCTCACTCCCGCGAAGTTAGGATGTCATGAGCTGTGTTGTAGAAGAAGGTAGTTGGGTGTGAAGCCTGAGATTGCTTAAAGTAGAAGCTTCTTACATGGGCATCTGCACAGTAAGGGGAGTTCAGAGGTCTTTGTTTGTGCAGTCAAACATTTCCTTATTTCTCTCCAAATCAGAAAAGTGACAACAAAAGTGAAGGGAATGGATCAAAGGCCCTGGCAGCTGAGGTTCCTAATGAAAAGTGTCATTTGGAGGCTGGGGACCGAGAGTATGGGACCATACAACAGGATACAGCAGAAGCCATTCCTCAGTGAAGCACGTCATCCAGGGAGGGTCTGGTGGCAGAGCCCAGCTCATGATGGCAGCAAAGACTATAGTTTCCCTGGATCTCTGTTCCTTGGCCATTGGTTACCATAGCAACAGCACCACAGGTAGCACTTCTGAATCAGATCTGATCCTAATCCCCATGTGACTTAGTCTCAAGCATCCAGGAATTACAAGCAATAATAAGTGTAATTTTGGGCACTTTCTCAGTATAATTTTTATGTGCGAGCCAACCCATCTCAACTCCACCCCAGTGATACAAGTCTCATGAGTACTGATATTTGCACGGTAGCATAAATGCCTTAAAGGAACTGTGGGACTGGGAGTTTTGGGCTGAAATTCTCTGTCATGGGACTAGGGTACAGTAAAGGAGCTCTATTCCTCAGAAGAAAATCTGGGCACTGCAAAATCTAAATAAATCCCCTTTCAGGGTTTGCATAGGTGTGTACTTCCAAACAACCGTCCTGGCTTAGTTGGGAATTGTTTTACAATAAGTAAACATTGCTAATAGCTCTGTTATAAGATCATTATCAAGGTCTTTAAGAATTAGGTACGTCCCTCCAAATTAAAATAATCAATAAAGAATCTAAGCTCTAGAAAAAATATTTTAATGGATTATTTTCTTATTCATTTGTCAAGCAATTTTCAAAACCTGAAAAGGTCGAACATGGAAATCATTGTTAGATAACACAGGGTGTGCTGGCCAGAGTAACTGTGATACATTAATGGTAAAAAAAAAAAAAAAAAAAAAAAAAAAAAAAAAAAGCACAGGCCTGCAGTAATCAGACTTGAGCTGAGTTTCCCTTTTCCCATCTGCTAGTTGTGTGATTTGAGGTGTCCAGATTTCTGAGCTCCAGTCTCCTTTGTAAAATACAGGTGACTTCACTTGCTCCTCATGGGTTATTTTTAAACAGAATTATGAGAAATAATAATTTAGTGTTGTTTTAAGCTTTGGACTGGTTCGTTAGGCAGCCATGTATAACTGAAATTATAGCTCTAAGGGAAGAGGAAGTTGGGATTAATTTAATATGAAATCAAAGACAGAAGTAGGCCTGGAGCATAAGATGTTGTTAGTTAAATGTAGTAGGATAAGATAGATAATGCTAAACAAAGAAACCTCCAAAATCTTGGTGTCCTAAAACAACAAATTTTATTTCTCGTGAGAAGTCCACTGTCAGTTTAGGTGGCTTCCCAGTGTTCTCCATGTGCTAGCTCAGTGTTGGATGCTTCTCTGATCTTATGTTTCCTCCATACTGTGATGTGCTCGTGGGGCCGCTGGAAAAGGAACAGCATGAAGAGTTAAGTACTGGCAATCAATATCTTCACTAAGAATGAATCATGTCACCTCTGTGTATGTTTCTTTCACCAAAGCAAGTCACGTGGCTGTAATTAATTTTATGGGAGTCTGAGCCTCCTAAGACAGCTGAGAAAAGGAAACACTTTCTTCTAATGGCATAGGAGATAAATAATAAGCTCAAGAGTCAATATGATATCGATTTAATCTCAGCTCTGCTGCCCTGTGCCAGTAGCCCTGTGCAAGTTACTCAACTTTTCACTGTTCTCATCTATAGGAAGCAAATATAATTTGAACCAGCTTTATGTGACAAAATAAAAGAATTTTGGGGGAAGTGCACTGAGTTATCAAATGGACCCCAAAGGTAGATTAGTCTCAATAGGATCTGAACAATGTGACAAGCAAGGCCCCAACAGGTACTCTGCCCATCTCTCATCCTTCTTCCACATGAGGAAGATGCTCACTCTATAGCTCTTCATAACTCTTCTGTTCAAGTGACTGGTATACTAGTCTTTAGGCACCATTTCAAAGTACAGTGGAAATAGAATCTGTTTTGCTCCTTTTTTGTCAAATATCACCCTCTAATTCAATCAGCTGTGGCCAGGGAGATGGAGCCCCATAGTAGCAACAGAGTTATGGGACCTATTTCTGGGTAAGGATGGTTCTCAGGAAAAGGAAATTGAAGTGAGCTAGGTAGGTACCCCATGACTCTTCCATGTTAAAATTGAGGAAAGTATGTAAAGCATGTGGCTCTAATTAGGTGCTTAAGTCATAGTATCAATTACAATTATTAATATTTATGATTATGATGGTTAATTCTATGTGTCAACTTGACTGGACCACAGGATGCCCAGATTAGACATTACTTCTGGGTGTATCTGTGGGGTTGTTTCTGGATGACCTTAGCATTTGAATTGTTGTGTTCAGTAGGTGGATTGCCTTCCCAATGAGAATGAGCATCATTCAATCCACTGAGGGCTTGAATAGAGCAAAAGGCCAAGAAAGGAGGAGGAATTTGCTCCTTTTTTCTGTCTCACTGCTTGAACGTGGATATCTCATCTCATCTTCTCCTGCCCAAGGATGGGATTTACTACATTGGCTTCTCTGGCTGGTTTTTAGGCCTTTGAACTCAAACTGATTTACATCACTGGCTTTCCTGGGTCTCCAGTAGGCGAATGGCAGACTGTGGGACTTCTCAGCCACCATAATCATAATACATTCAATTCCTCATAATAAATCTCATTGTATCTATCTATCCAATTATCTATCTACCTATGTCTCTATACATCTATCCTGCTGGTTCTGTTTCACTGGAGAACCCTGACCAGTATAATGTTGAATGAGAATCCTGGTTCCATGGATTCTGAATGGCTTGTCCCCACTGAAGAGTCAGTCTTAGTTGTTTGTCTGACATGTTCTGTTAGTCGAGTTTTAGGGTAAAGTAAATCTGAAGGTTTAATCCAGGCATCCCCAAACTTTTTACACAGGGTGCCAGTTCACTGTCCTCAGACTGTTGGAGGGCCACCACATACTGTGCTCCTCTCACTGACCACCAATGAAAGAGGTGCCCCTTCCTGAAGTGCGGCAGGGGGCCGGATAAATGGCCTCAGGGGGCCGCATGCGGCCCGCAGGCCGTAGTTTGGGGACTCCTGGTTTAATCATTTTGCAGAAGAAGTGACCAAGTCTAGCAGTTAAGCATTGGTTACTTCAGTCTTAGGTGTCCAATCATACTAAAAATCTATGCCTAATTTACTATTTCGCTTACAAGAGCACTAGTGATGGACTTTTTTTTTACTATTCCACTTTTAAAAAAAATTATCCACTTCTTGAATACCCACTTATTGATGATTCTGAGGAACTAGGTAGGCTTTTCCCTTTCAGACACCCCTCTCTCTCACAAGCAAAAGAGGGCTGCTCTCCTTTCTCTTTCTTTTGCCAGTTAAACCTCTGTTCCTGTGGCTCACAACTGTAATCCCAGCACTTTGGGAGGCCTGAGGTGGATCACGAGTTCAGAAGCTCGAGACCATCCTGGCCAACATGGTGAAATCCCATCTCGAATAAAAATACAAAAATTAGCTGGGCATGGTGGCACATGCCTGTAGTCCCAGCTACTCAGGAAGCTGAGGCAGGAGAATTGCTTGAACCTGGGAGGTGGAGGTTGCCGTGAGCCAAGATCACACCACTGCACTCCAGCCTGGTGACAGAGCAAGACTCTGTCTTAATTTTAAAAAATTTAAAAATAAGCCGGGCACGGTGGCTCAAGCCTGTAATCCCAGCACTCTGGGAGGCCGAGGCGGGCGGATCACGAGGTCAAGAGATCGAGACCATCCTGGTCAACATGGTGAAACCCCGTCTCTACTAAAAATACAAAACATTAGCTGGGCATGGTGGCACATGCCTGTAATCCCAGCTACTCAGGAGGTTGAGGCAGAAGAATTGTCTGAACCAAGGAGGCGGAGGTTGTGGTGAGCCGAGATCGCGCCATTGCATTCCAGCCTGGGTAACAAGAGTGAAACTCCATCTGAAAAAAAAAAAAAAAAAAAAAAAAAAAGGTTAAAAATAAAATAAAAATAAACCTCTGCTCCTAAACTCAAAAAGAAAAAAAGAAGAAGAAGAACTAGGCAAAACAAAGTGTGATATTCGAATTGAAGAAGTGGATTTTTATCTAGCAAATATTATACTCTCAATTTAATTTTATTTTCCACTAAGAGACCTATTCCTCCCAGGAGGCATCTCTGCCACGTGTAAATTTATGAATGCCAAACAATATGTCTAGAAAAGACATTGTCCTGTTCTACCTGGCAGCTTCGAAGATTCAATGATATATTGGGAAAGGGGTAACTCTCTTCTCCTTCCAATAACATGTAAGCCCTAGATTCCTGCCAAGCCAAAAATATCCCTGATTAAACAAATTATGTAGCAGAAAGTCTCTGAATTAATAAACTAAATTTGAATGATTATCTGATTCTTGATGTTTTTATTTATTTATTATGACCTATACTTCATTGTATGTAATGTGGGTAAATGAAAGTTAATTTTATTATTTCTCTTTCTAATGATGGAGTCATATAAACCTTAACCTTCAGAGTGGAAATTCAGGGAGTCTCGTGATTAGAGAAGCTCTTTAGCAAATGCACCCAGGCAACCACCCCTTTATCTTCGTACATACATTATTCAGTGTTATTCCCTGAATGGGCAGTCCTGCCAAGAATTGTCTGGGTCTTTTTCATCTTTGTTGGTGAGGTGGTTCTTCAATTATCCCTAAAATGTTTCTATCCTCTGCCAAATTGCACCACCGTCAACTGCAAGATGTAATTATTTTCTCTACCTACAGCAAAATGAAGCCAAGTATACCTTGAAACATTTTCATTCTCAGGTACCTTATGTAGGTTTGCCAAGAGCCAGGAAACCCAGTGGGCAGCTTTTCAGGCAAAAGTGGTGAAAGCTCTTTAGGGAAAATCTCTGTAAGTTTTCATTTAAACTGGGACCGAGAGGGGAGCAGCATGGTTCTAGCAATCTGAATTTATTTGGCGGGGGGGGGGAGGGGGGAAGTATTTTACTGAGAAAAAGTAAATGAAGGGCCCCCAACAAATTACTCAAAAGGACTCAGATATTATTTTCCTGGAACATTTACTTTATCTGTCATCTTCAAGCCTACCCTCAGGCTGATTGGCTATATAAATCAAGACAAAGTGGCAGAAACAAAATTCTCTTCAGAATTGAGTGAATTTCTGTAGAAAATGTGTCCTAAGATAAGCATTTTATGATGGTCTTTGGTGTCTTGGGGAAAAAATTTGTTTCAGTGACAGAGCAAGATGACCCCAAGGGCAAGACAGCTCCCAAGAATGTGGTGATAGGGAGAGGAACTACTTCTCTTCAAACTGTAAGAAGGTAGTTCTTGAAACCTTATTTATACAATTATTCATGCCAATTTTAAGGGACTGCTCAAAATATCAACTTTTCCTCATTGGCTGATGTGATGGCTAGTTTCCTATGTCAATTTGGCTAGGCTCTAGTACCCGGTAACTTAATGAAACATTAATCTAGGTGTAGAGGTATTTCACAGTTAACATCTACAATCAGTTGACTTTAAATAAAGGAGATGATGCTAAATAATGTGGGTGGGGCCCCATCCAGGTAGTTGAAGGCCTTTAAGAGCAAAACCAATGTTTTCTGAAGAGAAAGAAATTCTGCCTCAAGACTATAGCATCAGCTGGGCATGATG